CTCGCATAAATATTAAATAGATAAAACTAACCACATTCTCAATTCTTCCAATTCAGCCATTACATAGGTATCAGCAAATATAGATGAAGATTCAATATACCTCGAGATCAACTTCCATGGTTTCAGCTACATGGCGCATGATAGAATGTACAAGCTTGCTCTTATTGTACCTCTCTTCACATGCCTGAATGTCCTCCTCTGCGACTCGCCGCTTGCTGAGATCGATGTAACCCTTCTCCTTGTTAACTCGAAGAACCATGACGGGTTCGATTCTTCCCACCTTGATTAAGCTACTTATGCTCCGAATACGACGGCGAGAGAGCTCTGAGAAGAGAATCATTCCTTCGATGTTGTTGTACTCGAGGAGTGAAACGTAAGCGCCGCTGTCAGCCATGCTTTTTACTTGTATCATCACCGCCTGGTCAACTTCCGGGTATCTCGCTTCGTACATCCGGCACTCTAGGTTCGGCGTGTTGGTCGACATGATTGCGGTTGCAGATTCTGAACCGGCGAACTAGGGTTTCTTCAGACTGAGGGCTTTTGAGTTTTGAGAAAGAAGATGTTGTTTTTCGATAGCTACGACTTCAAGGCCGCTCCGTTTTTACTAAATTTAAACATTCTTTTGCTATATTTCCAAAGAGTATTTCCAATTCAACGATTTCCATTGTGGAGACTGGAGATAGTGACATGCGATAGGTAACTTTTTTCTGCGTTTTTATGTACAAAATCAATAACTTTTTTTGTTCATTTTATATAAACTTTGTAAACTTCTTCTAAATAATACTACGTTCGTCCGGATAGACTTTGTCAAGTTCAAAATAAGTGAGAAATAAGAATAGTAAAAACTTTGTGATTGAGATTTGTTCAGAGAAGAGAGAAATGTGCAAAATCACAAATTAGTTGCTTTAATAGGAAAGTGACAAAGTTTTTTGAGACAAACAAAAGGGAAAGTTAGCAAAGTCCAATGGAACGGAGGGAGTATCAATCACAATATGTACATGTAGATGTTCTTCTGAACATTGCAGAGAAAATTTGCTAAAAAACATATTTGTTGGGTTAATGGCCCAATACTGGGAATTAGCCCAATACCCCCTACTCGGACGAGCGTGTAGGCCCAACAGGGAAGGAGATCCAAACAGACATCCCCGGAAAGCCAATGATGATTACACATCGGGGCCCAAGGTAGATGTGACGTACGTCGTCGCCTGGGCCCTCAGCTCAAGAAGTCTTAGCCAAGAGGTAACATGCATAATCCTACACCAACGGCCAGAAGACGTACGGCCTCCCACCCTTGGTGGCATCCTCAAATGAAAGAGCCAAGTCCCACGGGGACGTTCGTCCCCGACAACTGGACGGTAAACCAAAACTCTGGCGGGAAGCGTATTTAATGCTGGAGATTTGGTGGTTGAAACTCCAGTGATCCACAGCTCTCCACGTCAGCGTATCCAACTGCCCCTTGGTAGTATAAATAGTAACATTTATTTCATTGTAAATGGTTGACAACTTACCCGCCTTAGCATTCTAGCAATCTTATAGCTTATAACATTGTTTGCAGCTCTTTTACTTGAGTGTGAGACGAACGGCCGCCGGCCAGTAGCTTTAATGCAGTGTGACGGGGCTTTTTTATCACGTAATAATACTCGGTCCACTATTGCAAACATCTTTAAGCTCATCTTACTTGTTATTTCTTCACATTCACACCCACCATCCGTTCAAAGCCCTTAGGTTACGTGATGGGCCTACGGGTTGGAGGGAATAAACATCAACACATATAAAAACGTTTATATAAAGAAAAAGATATATTGCTTGCCACGGAGTAACATTTATGTGTCTCTTTGATGCCACCTGTACACCATGTACATTGTGACATTGGAGATATCAAACTTATAAGCTTGTAATCCACATTTAATAATTTACGAGTATTACGTAGTACATTTAACTCGTGGGCTAAAACTCACATTCATTGTATAATACTCTTGCAGTCCATTAACATTTCTTATTATCTTTCTTTCCTGTGTGAGAACTTAACTACACGGTCTTTATTTTATTATTTCACGTGTCAATCAAACTTAACAAAGTTTTAAGGGATTGAGAGAGTACCTAACCCGTGATAGTAATATTCATTGCTATTGGATATAAATATATTTCAACGAAATATACAAGGTTCAAATAGATACTCAAATATAATGGAGGGAAAATTAAACGTCTAGATTCATATGGCTTAGTATAAAATTTATCAAAGGAAGTCATGTGGATAATATTTATGATGACTATATTGTACTCTCTCCCTCCGTTCCGCTAAGATTGTACTATTTTACCTTTTCGGTCTGTCCCACTAAGATTATCTAATATCAAATTTGATAAAGTTTGGTTGACTCTGTCACTCTTATAAAACCACTTTTTATTGGTTTGTGTGTCACTTTCTTTTGTCCTATTGTTAATGGGATGGAGTAATAGATTGGCATAATATTACCGGTTGATATTGTAATGAAGCCATGAAGGGGTTGCTTGATGGACTTCCCTATATAAGACGAGTTATAATCATTTGTAATTCTTCTTGTAAGTTTCGAGATCTACATCTATACTAACAAGTATTCAAGTTTTTTTCATTTTACTGTATCTTTATTTTTTTAACATTTTATTAATGTAGACAAAGTTAAAGAGTTCTAGTCTTAAAAAGAGCTTTTAGTGCCCTAGTTTAGCGATTAGGGAAGACAAAATGGCACAATCAAGAGAACACCCACAAAAAAGGGAAAAAAACAAGAAGAGGGCCCACGAGACTATGGAGTAACTTGCGATAAATGCAAAAGAAGCAATATTAGTCGACAGACCACGATGTGTTTGTTCACACAAGGAGTATTATTAGTGATGATGAGAGAAGATCTATCTCCCAAATTGGCATGCTTGAAGGTGGTGTATTCTGATTTAAGGAGAGAAGTTAACCCTGGTGTTGGTGATCAGGTTTGAGAGGTTACTCACTAATCTCATAAGAGCTTTAGGTGGTGGTAGGGACAGGGGCGGAACTAGTATAGAGCTCGAGGGTGCACGTGCCCCTGCAGACTTTTGTTTGTTTAGTATATATACATATACTAGAGAACAACGAAGGGATCTATTCGCATGGTTTATTAGGATGTTTTTACTTGGACTGTAATTTGTTGGTCTGGTCTGGTCTAGTCTGATCTAGTTTGGTCTGGTTTCTTTGTATTTTTATAATTATCCAAGTATGGTCTGGTCAGATCTGGTCAGATTTGGTCTGGGACGAATTACAATCCAAGTAAAAACATCCTTACTCTAGTGTTGGTGTTCGTGTGTCAACTAGAAGGAAAGGAAAAGATGGAAATTTTAAAACTATTGTTGTAGTCTGTACTTACTATGGAGACCATCTCAATTGCTTATCACTTATTTTGAATTTAAATTGGGCCTTTAATTGAAAATTTTGGGTCAATACTCAATACTAATGCTTGGCAAGCTTGAGAATAATTCAAGGTTTTATTTACGCCCTAAATCAATCTCTCGCCTCCCGACTTGTCCCCCCTCCCTTTCGTAATTTTGCATGCCACAACCTTTTCGGCACATCTTCTTGTTGTCGCCTGCCTTGTCGGAGATCTGAATTTTGGGTCGTAATAGGGCATCCACTTTGTCGAGTTGTCGAAGATCTTCTCTTTCCCATTATGTGTACCCCTCCAACATCTTCGAGTTGGTTCCGCCACTGGGTAGGGAGGCACAATGGGTGGACCAAAATACTTTGATGAGCACTTATTATGAACTCGTTTTGGGCACTCTTAAATTTGATGAACTCATGTGAAAGATTTCTAAGTCAACCCTCCATTGGTGTGCAGTTTTTTGCAAGCTATGATATCTTTGTTGCCACCTTATTGGAGAATTTGAGTTTGGAGAAGTAAGGAACCATGCGATTATTTGTCCTTGTCATATTCTGATCTCCTTCAGTGAGTTGGGGTCCCAGTATTGATAGTTGTTTGTATTGTCTAATTTCTGCCGATCCATTCGTTGCAGGTAGGTTATGACTTTATCAAGTATTTTTTGTATCGCGCATTGCGCGAGCGATATGATGTCCAACATTTTTTATGAAATGTAAACTCTTTGTGCTTGCCCATACATAAGAGATTTTAAAGTAATTAACCTAATTCGACCAATCAAGGAATATATGTGAGCATGGCATGGCAATGGCGGGAAAGGGCGGTAGTGTAAAATCCATATCCATACCGCGACTTTAGTAGGTGAATCCGCTCTGCCTCGCGACTTTAGCCCTACCGCCGTAACCTAACTTGTTAGTAAAGTACGTATTACATATTTTTATGAAGTCATAATAATTTGATTTACACAAAGTTTAGCACCAAATGATGATTATTGAAGACCAAATATAATAGGTAAAAGGCATAATAAGACAAAATGACAATTTTACAAGCGGGAGAAACTTCCATGAAGAAAGTCATTCAACAAGCCCACATATACCTCAACTTTATTTTACTTCTAGCTGAATTGATACCCCTACTTTGAAACTCATTTTTATTTGCATTAATTTAGGGCATCAAGGACAATATTTGAAACGTTATTCTATTTAAATTATTAAATCAAATGAACATACAATACTACGATCCCATGTATAAAAAGACATTGATCCATGTATATAAAGACATTGATAATTAGTTGTTCATCTAGTTTTTAAATTGTAAATGTATTTCAAAATCAAGCAATTTATGATTTATTATACCCCACACATACATGTATATTTGTAAACTAGTTTTAACGAAAATCAGGGAACAGTCTCTCATCAAGTTTCTGACTAGTTTTTGTACGGAGTACAAAAGACTAGTTTTTGACTATCCATGTCTCTCATGTTTTGTTTGTGCATAAAAATTGCACGGTAAAACCATTCCTTCTCTTTTACCATGATCTAGCCATGCACCAAGCACGGCAAAGCTAAAGCAGAGTATAGTAGTATACAAGAAATGAAACCACGCAATTAAAGAAGGGTGTGCATTTAAACTAAAGACACGTAAAATACCTATAACGTCCAAGATGCACGATTCAATTTACTGAAAATGGTTATGTTGCTTTCAACAACATAGATGATAAGAATCACAGTAATATAACTCCCACCTAATATACCGTACCAGAGTATAATCCCTAAAAAACAATATACAATTCCTCAAAGTTCAGATTGTTAGCAGTAAATATCAATTATCAATTAAAACTAATGAAATAAGGTCAGTTAGTGTATATACAAAAAGAACCATCTTTTCACTGGTCTGTTCTCCAACTCCAAAAACATCAAGAGAATCAGCTCAGGTAGTGTTAGTTGGGAAACAAACATCTTTACATATATTTCATATCTTATTAACCCAAGTCTACTTGACCCAGAGACTTGAAACACTGCAAAAAAGTTCAAACTACTTCTGTCTATTGACCATCTTCAAAGGATGCCCCACTGGGTATCTAACTCAAAAAAGCCCAGGTCATCGATGGAGAAGTTGAGATCCTCTTGCCTCCCTGGTTGCAACAAGCCCAGCCCATTATCACCTCCGGTCAAAACGTGCTGCTGGAGATCACCTGGCAGGAAATTTGTAGGTTGATCACACTTATACCCTCCTTGCCCGCCCATATTATTACTTGCATTCATCAAGGGAGTAGTATCTAAAACACCGAGCAGCTCTTCCACATCAAACACTTCATCCCATGTGAGATCATCAAGAATATCCTTCCCTTGATTATAATCAACACTAGCAAGTTCTTCTTTTGCTCTGGTTGGATGAATCCCAGATATGCAACTCTCACTTTCATGTTTTAACTTTTGCTCAGCATTCATGAGAGACTGTGATTTGTTGTTAGCCGAATCCACATCAGAGAGCCCAGAGGCCATGGTGGAGTTGGATGCAGATGTCGCAGGCGGTGAACAAGATTCTGAAATTGAGTCTTTTGATAAGGTATCATTTGGAAGATTGAGACGTGCACATGGACCGTACATTGCCTTCGCGGCTTCATCATACGCTTGGGCAGCTTCAATGGCTGTTTCGAAAGTGCCTAGCCAAAGCCGGCTGCCCCTGTTGGGCTCTCGAATCTCAGCCACCCATTTTCCCCATGTTCGCTGCCTGACTCCTCTGTACTTACAGTGAGAGTTTTCTGGGCCGCCTTTGCCCTTCATGCACCCCTTCTTGGATCCCTTTGCCGGGACTTTACGTGCAGTGGAATCCAGCGTCTCGTTATACTCTTTCCATTTCGCCAGTGTCTCTGCAACATCTTTAGATCCATCCCTTCTACCTCTAGATTTCCTCTTTCTGGTGTAATTCATAAGTAGAGAAGGGTTGCCGGAAGTCTGTGCAATGGCCATCATGTTCTGGTTTCTGTAAATTAATTAAAGAAAGGAGAATTTAGGCATTGACCAAAATTATGCAGCTAGTTATCAGCAATTCAAAATATTCATTCACTGTTAGATGCCCTGTTTTTGCCATAAGTCATCCTCACCCCTCCCACCATTAATATCCCAGCTACATTTCGGGTATGAAAGCATCAATTATGGGGTGCAAGTTTTACATATTTGAACTCCCTCACCCAGTAGATTCCATGTTAGTAAGAAAAATGTTCCCTCAGTGGGCCTTTTCAATAAAATAAGCCAATATGAAAATCAAGAGAGTTGGAGCAGAGCTAAAAATCTATATGCTTTAGATCCACCATATCAATTAAAATTTAAGCCCATAAAAAGCCTCAGATTAACCCCACCTTGAATTTCAATCTACTACGTGTTTGAAAGTGTATAGTTGTAATTTCAACCATAACTCATTTGCAACTTTAAATCTATCCAAAAATGATTCCCCCGCACAGCAGTGGTATATCGGGCTTGGCCTAGTATGGCCAAATAATTTTTTTAAAAATTAATTTTTACAAATAAATTCAAAACATTTTCAAACTTCCAAATTTGGAGTGAGCAGGGCCAAATATGCCCCCCTAATCATGCCTGCGGCAGAGTCGCCTTAAAATCAAAGCCTTAAACCCTAAGTTCCAACGGTTTAACTGACAAAACAGAGTAGCCAAATTAATTTTAAAAACTGAATCAAAAAGAATCGGAAAGAACAATTAGTAAATCTCGAATTATCATACCTCTCAGCGTTCTCAAGAGACATGCGCCACGAATCTAGTTCCCAGAAATTATCGTTCCTCTGTAAAACCCTAGCTTTCGTTTTCCTTCCTCTCAAAATATCTCCGTTCTCTGGATTTTCAGTCGCAGGAATTGCGGCGATTTTCTGTTCGTGATTCTTCTGGTTTGGTATTTTTTTAGTCCGAGAGAGGTTTGGAGAAAAGGCGAGTTTGAGCAGGAAGGGTTTGGAGGAAGAGCTGGTGTTATTTATAGCTTCTCTAGACATTTCGATTCCGTGTGGGAAGTTGTGACGTGGCAAATCACAGTCATAGCCGTGGTACTTTTCCAGCCGCATGACGTGACACGTGTCGCCAAAGCCTGCTCGCCTCGTTCCTCGCTCTGGAGTGTTTGCTTTGCTCCGAAGGTTTCCAATTTTAACCTCCGCGTTGAGTAATGATGGTTTGTTTTGGATTGAAATTTGATGGTCTGGTCTGATCTGATCTGGTCTGTTTAAGTCTGGTCTGGTCTGAATTGGTCTGGTCTGATCTGGTTCTGTTTGGTAAACGCCTGGTCTCTGTGTATTTTATAACTATCCAAGTCTGGTCTGGTCTGGTCTAGTCTGTTTAAGTCTGGTCTGGTCTGGTCTGGTCTGTTTAAGTCTGGTCTGATCTGGTCTGGTCTGGTCTGGGACCTGAAAGCAGTCCAAAAGAAAACATCTTAATTAATGCCCGGTAATAGTTACTACTCCCTCCGTCCCATTTTAGCTGTTTTACTTTTCTTTTTGGATTGTCTCAAAATGAGTGCCTCTTTTCCTTTTTTTTTGGAAAGAAATATGTAGTCTACACAATTTTACTTTATTATACTCAAATCTCAACCACAACTTTTACTTTTTCAACCACTTCATGAAGAACTATGTCAGGTCAAACTAAGACACATAAAATGGGACAGAGGTAGTACTTGCTACGAGTGACTACACTAACTTTCCTAAAACATCATTAAAATTATTTCTCTATTCTTTGAGGAGGGTAACACTTTCAATTTTATTCACAGGATTCAATTCGATCAGAATATATATTAATATATTTACTCAATAATGTGAGTTTCCAAAATATTAAATTTTATTATATTTATTACTACATAATTAGATATTATTACAATCAAAGTTGTGTTTTTGACAAATGTAAAAGTTAAATTGGTGCAATTTAAAAGAACCGTTTGCAACGTTTATTGATAAAAAGTGAGTAAAATGATGATTAATTCTTACCGTATAATACAGTACTCCCTCCGTCCTAAAATGATAGTCTCGTTGCGGTTTTCGATATTTGACCGACGATAAAGCAAACAGATCCCTGTCCGCACTCAAATTATTTTTAGAAAAAAATGTACATATTCAGAAACTACATAAAAAACTTTACAAAGTCGCAAAAACCAAAATCAAATTTGATAAAAATTTGATATAAAAGGTAAGAGATTAAAAATGATTTGTATTGACCAAGTGAATAGGAACTGAGACTATCAAATTGGGACGGATGTAGTATAAGATTTGAACATAATGTAATCACAATGAGTCTGGTATTTTTGAAATTGGTCGAATTAGTTTAATCTATTGAAATTGATGAAATTCTGTTTGAAGTAGCTGAAGAAACGGATACGCGAAAAAATAACAAATAAAGTTAATTGATGAAACGAAGAATAATTTAGATAAAAATCTCACTGAAATGGCTCTCTTCGGTCATTTCAGCTATTTAGTTAACAACAACCTTACTCATTTTAATTGTTACACAATTCTGCGCGTGAAATCAAAATTTACATTTTTGATTAAAAAGTTAGCCGATAAGTTGAGCGCACTCTAAAAGTTACTAATTCATATCATCGTCTTGCATTTTCATTCTGATTATATAATACTGCATAGTAGGGGTGCAAATGAGCCGAGCCGCTCGGTCAAAGCTCGAATCAGGATCGGTCAAATTCGAGCTCGAGCCGAGCTCGAGCCGAGCTCGAGCCGAGCTCGAGCCGGCTCGTTAAGCAATCAAGCCCGAGCTCGAGCCGAGCTCGAGCCGAGCTCGAGCCGGCTCGTTAAGCAATCAAGCCCGAGCCCGAGCCTTCTAATTTCAGGCTCGCTGGCTCGCGAGCCTAATTGTATATGTGAATATTTATAATATATAATCATATATAATATATTACTATGCAATATAAATTAATATATAGTGTATATTATTATATGTAATATATATGATATACTTCCTCCGTTCCATAATTCCTGCAACATTGTGATTTTTACACTATTCACATATCTTGATTTGACCATGATTTTCTACTAATATACATAATCAAATTATTACGTATAAAATGTTATTGAACTCTTATCAATGTGAATTTCCAAAATATCAACTTTTTATAATGTCTACTAATACATAATTAAATATAATTACAATCAAAGTTGTGCATTGGCAAACGTGAAAGTCAAATTGTTGCAAAAATTATGGAACGGAGTATAGTATATAATATATACCGAATTACCGATTAGTAAAAATTTATAATATTTTAGGCTTAGGGCGTTACTACTCAATAGAAAAACTTAGAATGGGCCGATGACAGTGAATTTTTACTACGGACTCATTATGGAGCATCAGAATGGTTATCGAGCCTCAAGCCGAACCGAGCCTCGAGCCGAATCGAGTCGAACCGAGCCTTTTGCGAGTCGAGTTCGAGCCGCGATTTTGTAGGCTCGTTCGAGCCGAGCCCGAGCTCGAGCCGATGCTATATATTTCGAGCTCGAGCTCGAGCCTGTAGAAAATCGGGCTCGGCTCGGCTCGTTTGCACCCCTACTGCGTAGGTATTAGGGGTGGGATCGGGTCGGGCTGGGTCGGGTTTTGGCTAGGACCGCTAAAAAACCAAAAAACTTCGAGTTCTACAATTTTGGGCCCGATCGAAGGATCAATACTTTTGGGTTGGTCCGGGTTTTAAGAGCCTCGGGTTCGGGTTGGGTTCGGGTCGGATTGGGTTGAACCCGGGAAAAAATCGAACCGAGATATCTAAAAAAATTGAAATACAATCACACTAAAAATTGTAAATATCTAAATTTCTAATGAAAAAATATACATAGTAAAAACTGAAGCAGTATATTTTAAATCCGAAAATCACACGTTAGAAAACGTTGTAGAAGAACAATTTGTTCGAAAGGAAAATAATACAAAGCCAAGATTTTTCGGTTAACCAATGTTAAAGTTAAATCCTTCATATTATACTTAATTAATATTTTATAATTAAAATTTACATATTCAAAAACCACATTAAAATCACTTTAATGTTGCAAAGTCCAAATTAAATACAATTAAAAATTGATATCCTAATTAAATGAATAAAATGAAATTGTTTGACTAAAAAAGTCAATTTTGAAATCAATTTAGGACGGATGTAGTATAAAATAGTTCATACATATTATATGTAAAAAATCAGTATGATGTATTAATAGGTCATAAGTATTTTATATAATATATATATATTTTTAGGTTTCTTAATTTTATCGGGTTTTTTCGGTTTGGGTCGGGCTTAAAATTTTGGAATCCGAATTAGGACCCAAGTTTTTGGTTCGGGTTGGGTATTTTAACCCAGACCGGTCATTTTTAAAATAAAATCCGGACCAATGTCATATATCGGGTTGGGTCGGTTCGGTTATCAGGTTTTGGGTCAGGTTTTCCTACCCCTAGTAGGTATTACTTCTTGTATTTAATAGTTAAAATTGTACTTTTTTAAAATAGTTAAAATTGTACTTTTGGAAATGTGAAATTCAAGTTAGGAAATAAATAGAAACGCATGCGGATGGGCCACTAAATAAATTCGGGATTCGTCGGGGTGGATTTAATTTAATTAGCCCATTGAAACGGAATGCCAACCCGCCCACAGTAATGAGCATGGGCATGTTCGCAGCTATTTTGTCTGTTTATTAGTGGCGATGATTACCTTATTTTTTATTCACGTTCTTATCATCTCACTTTCTTCTTCCATGGTACAAAACTTCATGGTGTTTGAGCCGGGTATTGAAGAGGGGAGAAAAAAATTAATGCCTACATCCTTCCCATTATATTGTAATAAACAGTTTTAAACTACTAGAGCTCATTTAACCTTGAAATTGACTGTATTGATTAATTCTTTGGTGACTAAAAAAATTATATTTAAAATATTTGTTATTAATAAGCAAAATAAAAAACTATGAGAAAAATAGCTAAAATAATCCTCTAGTTTAACTTTATCAATACAGTAAAAAAAGTAACTTCAACCTTACTTTTTTTTTCTATTATTACACAATTTAGAGCAGTAAATCAAAAGTTTCGTGTTTAGTGAAAAAAATGACTAATAAGCCTGATAAATCAAAAAAGGATCTCCAAGCGGGCTCTTACTGTGCTATAGTTTGCCAATATTTTATTTACTACTCTGTAATGCATAAGAAAATTGATTGTGTGTGTGTATTGTTTAGCTTCTCATTTAAAATTATCAAAAATGATCGAGTTTTTATACTCGTATTTTTATTAATGAGGAATTAAATATATTGTTGATCAAGTTGTTCGTTAACAAATCTATAGATGAAAGGGTTTCAATTAAGAAAAGGGAGCTGAGGAAATTTATTTTTGAACTATTACAAAATACCTAAATTTTCTAGATAAGTACTTGATTTTTGGATGTTTAAAATATTAAAAAAGAACATATCTTTTACTCCGTTTGTACATATATTAAATTATCACTTTCCTTTTTTTGATAATATTTGGATAGTAAAACACATTGATCGAGTATTAAAATTTAAATCTGAAAAACTATAATTATTCATCCAAACAATTGTACGTGGCCCCAACATAATTGAGGAACTAGGACATCACCCCAAGGACGCTTTTAGCATTAAGGGGTTACGAACCGACCATATAAACGTGTTAAATAATCGTTCTAAGCAGCCGTGACAGGTTTGCGGATTGCTTTGGAGCTGAGAAAGGGTATTGTCGTGTATGTCTACGGCTGGATTTGTGTGCTGCAATTCAACAATTGTTGTGTGATGACGAGCTTACACATCAACACTCTTTTGAGGTTGCCAGTTTCCATGTGTTGCTTGATCGAGTCTGAATGATCAAAGTTGAACGTATTTATCGGGAGGGCAATCGGGCTGCCGACTACTTGGCTGGCCTAGGCCATACTTTAGATTTTGGTGCTTACCCCCGTTTCCATTGATGGATGATGATCCTATATT